GTTCGGTGGCACATCCTTCCAGCTTTCGCCTCGTTTCATTCGTTACCCACCGGTCGCTAGGAAATTCTTCAGATGTTCAATTCTCATTGCACATCTTGCGCGAAACTTGATGAAACGCGATAGCATCGCAGTAGCGATGACCACAGCGTGTGGCGGCATTCAACGTGTTAATAATTCACGCCTTCTTCCTCATCTTCCGGTCTCTATCTCGGTCGCAAATATGCACGCGACGTGGCTGGGAGCCACGCTGGTTATTTGACGAGTATATATCGTACCGCCGGAATAGAATAGAATTATATTCTGCGAGAGGGACGGCGTCACGTGAGGATCGTGTTCAGGGAGACCCGACGCCGCGATTTTGATCGATCTCGCGCGGTCGTTCGTGCGAAACAAACGCGACGGAAAATATGGCGGTGGACGAGACGCAGTATGAATACGATTTCTCAACAAGGATGATAAACGTGTCAAACGTGAAACGCGGGAGTACGAGCGCGGTGGATATTTGATGACGCGTCGACCGTGTTGGAATTAATCAACATACATATCCCTGGGAATTGCACGCAGCTATTTTCGCGCGAGCCCGCGACTGCGAATTTTCATCGTTAAAATCGCGCGGGAAAATGCACGGATGAGGACGGATAACGAGGTGGTCGTCAAAGCGCGCGGAAATATTCGATAATGACGCGAATCGCGACGGCACCGCCGCCGTGGTGCACCGCGACAGACACACCAGCGATGAAGTGATTTCGAGACGGATCACACATCGCTACGGGAGCTGTAACCATCCCATATCGGGCTTTCCGTAGTAATCATTAAAGATGGCAATTAGATGATTGCGACATCGTTCATCGAAATTCTCGCTGTGATTTCAACCATCGCATATATCGCTCTCCTCAGCCAAATAGTATTTCGATTCATTTTATCGCGCCTATCGATCCCAACTATATCACGAGCGTCTACCACCTAAATTACCACCACCACTATCACCACCACCCCACTAGCCGCAAGAATTTACACCGACATTCTTCTCTCTCTCTCTCTCTCTCACTCTCTCTCTCTCTCTGTCTGTCTCTCTCTTTTTCTCTCTCCAATGCAAATATTATTTTCCTGTACAAATATTATTTCCCATCGACTGTGAGCGCGCGCACGGAACCAAAACACAATCGACGTGTTCCAATCGACGCAGCGAAACATAACAGGAAAGCATAACAAATAAAACAATATATCTCAACGGCAATACGGCATGATGAGAAGAAGGATAATGACGAGAAAACGAGAGGATACGTTGTGCGTGTTGTCGCCGGACGGACATACGACGACAGCGTGCCGCTTCTGCACGAGCCGCGATATACGTATAACGCCTGTGCTTTTTTACTTGCAAGCAATTATGGATTAAAAGGGAGTGGGTGGGTGGGCGGGCTGGCTTTGGAAGGGAAAAAGGGGGCAAGTGATCGCAAAGTCGTCAACGACGTGCTGTCAGCGGGGGAGGGGCTGTGTTGTTACAATCTGTTCGTTATTTTAGCCCGCACCAGCTCGTGTTACGTAGGTGGCAATTAGTACAATTTGGCGCGTCACGGTGGCCCATTGTTCGTGCTTTTTTCCCACGTAGTCCGAGCACACGCGCGCGCGCGCCATGTCGACAGATGATGACTGGCCCGGTCATGTGTGTGGACGGTGTTTTCATCGTGTATTACAGAGCGTACACACGTGGACGCGTATCCGCAAATTGCGAATTTTTAGCGCGCGAAGTGCATCGAGGCGCACGCGACAGCGCCCGCTGAAAGTACATCCTCGTCGCGCACTTCCGAGCTTGCCTTTCGAAAAAAAAAGGAAGAAAAACAGAACCACGTGCTGCGAACGCCCGACCAACGAGATTTGCTGCGTGCATATTTCGATATCACTGTGACTCGCGCGTGAAATCCGGTGAAAAATGTAACTTGAATTATTTTGCATTCCTGAGTCGGAGAACTTTGATCCTGCTTTCGACCTCAACGTCTCATTTAACGTCTACTGTAATATTTTGAAGCTTATATCAATCTCTTCTAGTTTTATTTTTCTAGTTTTATTTGAGCCTACAGCTTTACCAAGAGATCCTCTTTAGAATCTGCAGATGGCATTTTGTGCGTTTTCCGCCATTTAGAGATTTCCAAGTAGGATTTCAGTTCTCATGTCAAACATACACTGATCCTTCAGAATATACAGATATTAGAAAGTTCAGATCGAAAGTAGGGTCGAAAGTAGGTCAAAAGTAGGGCTAAAATTTCAATTGGGGTTGTTAGAGATTTGCTGGAGGGCTCGTCGGATAGCTGACGGTCGGATAGCTCGTCGGTTTCATTGGAAAATGTCGGGAAACGAAAAATCCTTTGAATCCTTTCACTGACGTACAATCAAGCAATGAATTGCCTGAAAAATGGCAGAAAGTGTAAATACAAGGTAGATACTTTTGTTGAATAAGGGATTGAGAAGTAATGCGGTTACCATTGCAAGTTACATTTTTCAGTAACGACTTTGTTGCTTAGCTTTCTTTTCGTTTATAAGGATAATACTGAAACTATGTTTTTGATAACGGTCGATAATGGGTATAAATATATTATCTTTATAGTAATGTGAAAAGCTTTTAAAAATTTAGTAAAAGAAAGTAAAAGAAATTTTAACGACTCGAGTTATTTCTTAAATAACTGAGTTACTTAAAAAAGCTACTTTCCCAACCTCTCTATTGAACATAGCATCTATTGTTTCTCTTTCATTATTGTTAATAAAAGAAATATGGCTAATAATCTGATGAATTTTCGCAAGCTCCTTTACGTACAGAGCCAAGAGAGCTTTTGTAAAGATTCGACGAACGACAATACGTATCCCAGTTGAGGAAATTACCGCGCCTAAAGGTGAATTTAATCCTTACGGCGTTAAAATCTTCCCCCGACACTCATCATAAGTTTCAAACGACGCGCAATGCGCCACGTCTGGTAAGTTCGTTAGTAACTTCGTTGGAGAAACTTCGAACGTCTAACCGGACCGCCGATGTAGCCGAGATAACGCGATCAAACGACATAAATCTTCGCGCCGATAGACATGGGAATACCTGGACGGAGCGCAAAATACTCCTGTGGAGTGTCAGGCTTTAAGGGTGAAGGGAATGGCCGTCGCGGTTATCTTGGTTGATCAGCATTGGCATATATATATACACGATACAGCTAAACTCAGATATACTTTCATATCGTGCGCAGTCGCGCGGCGTGATCTTAGCATTGCTGCATTTCGAGATTACGTATTCTGTAAACAAAAATAATGTCTGTAGCAAAGTATCCCAATGTTTTCTGCAATATCTCTGACTGTTACGCGGAAGGCTGCTAAAGTAAAACCGCAAAACGAAAGAACTCAAATAGCACAGATCTCCACAGGACATTTGTAAGACGTTCTGAGAACGTCCCCTGTAGGTATAATCTATAACTTTTAATGATAGTGTCGTTGCGCAAGTATAATACATGATAAGAAAGCTGCGCAATGACACTTCGTGCTAACGACATTATCGTTAAGAAGTTATAGAATAGGGAGATCTTGTGCTGTCTGGGAATAAGATACAATTGGAATGGAGACCATTCGATATCACCATTTTGGTTTGATCCGTTACAATCTCATTTTCCCTTAAACTTCAACCCCGCGGAAGTATGCTTCGTCCAGATATTCCTACGTCCATGTTCACGCGGGTAAACTCGGAAGGCTGACGAGGATGTTACTTGCGAATGAAGCGATTATCGTGCCGCTGTCTCGCACGCGCGTCGACAATCATCAGCAAGCTGATCAACCGTTTTTTCATTCGAGCGGCCGGATTCTGTCCACATGAGCGCGCGGCGAAGGTTTCAAAGCGAGGAGAATGAAGAACCCGAAAAGTCACGGACACCTCTCCCTCAGCGTGCTTACGCCAGCACTCGATGTTTGTGTCTCCACTGCCGAGTCTCGACGTGACAAAACGCTTACATCTCTCTCTTTCTTTCTCTCTCTCTCTCTCTCTCTCTCTCTCTCTCTCTCTCTCTCTCTCTTACACACACACACACACATACACATATCTGGTCGCGGAATCGTCGAGAAAACCACGCATCGCTCTGTACCTCGTTGTACATATGTGTGCACGTACCGACAAGGAATGTTCCTTTTTCCATCACGTCTGCCTCACGTTAACACTCTCTTACTTTGCTCGATCATTCGCTGTTGCTGCCCGCTGACAATGTCTCGCAGGAATGGCCGATTCACACCGCTCATGTGTAACCAGATGTGCTGGCGATCTTCAAGTGCAATTTGCGCGAACACCATCGCTTACAACGAGTCGGAGAACAAATGTTATCGGCGACCATGTTATTCTCTTCTTGTGTGTAGTCGCAATTGAGAGCGGAGGCATATAATTACACATACACAGGACGTCTGACTACCGCCTTATTTATTGTAACATGTCAAGAGAGATCATTCTTTTTTGCAATTATTCAATTTTTGATTCTGTATCTTTGCGTCCCATGTTAAAATTTTACTGAAATTTTGCTAGTTCCACTTGGAATTAATAAAAAAAAAAACGCAACTTTGGCGTCTATTTGACTTTCTGGAGCCTATTTCGTGAGAAGACCTTTTTAATAGCTTATAACAGCCGAGAATTATCGACTCCAAATTGACAAAGAAATCTGTCATTAAAAAATAATGCGGTAGAAGTGGAAGTTGTATATAGTGTTTCAGTTTAAACAGTTATCATGTAACCCAGGCGATCGTGAAATTCTGTCGCTTCTAATATAAAACAGTCGTTTTCTAAATAAAACTCTGAAACACGTTGTACATATGACGCGACGAATTTGAGGAGTTTGCCAAAAAGTTGCTGTTTAACGTAGTAAATGGCGTCGAATTGGATTTCAAGAACGCCAGTGCTATGCATAGCTTTCAAATGTTGCGTAACCTTTAGTTCGGTATTAACAGACATTCATGGCAATCGAAATTGACGAATTTCTTGTGTTATATAGGGCAAGTTTTTCTTTTGTACCGACCTATCGAAAATGACGAAGAACGACTGCCAGTAAGTCCCGATTACATCGTAAATTAATGGATGTATTACGTGTAACGTAATAAGGAGATGAAAGAAGCGAGATCCTTAATGCGTTCGCGGAAAATTGAAAAATTCGATCAAAACCGACTCTTCGGGATACAATGCAAGGCATTTTTCCTTTGCAGTGGCACCTACTTGGAATTCGAAAACGGTAATATGAATAAACCGATCGTGAAGGAAAGAATGTGGAATCAGTATCGTTTTCACTTCGATGACGTTGCCAAGGCGATGCTCACCCTCTTCACGGTCTCGACTTTCGAAGGTTGGCCATCGTAAGTACATTTGTATCGCATAGCGGGGCACGTTGGTTCGTGGCTCTGTTGCGAGTCAAATAGAGCGGATGGCTGCCGGTGCAAACTTTGCTTTCCGACTTTTTTTGTTAATCCGACCGACATCCGAGATACGATAAAGTTCCCGCAGGGAAACTCGTTTCTTACATTCTTCTTTCGTGTATCTTGCGTTAGTTTCTCGGATTCTTCCCTTTGCTTTCTCTTTCTCCGTCCGACCGGTATCTCATTTTTCCGGGTTACTTCAATAAATAAATAATAAATGGAGTTTCACCACGACGATATCGCGAGATTGAGTAAACGGCGACTCAAGAGATGGAGATATTAATTAGTGATATTCTCTGCGTTTTCCCACAGACTGTTAGATTGGTCGATCGACTCCAATCAAGAGAATCATGGACCAATTCATAACTTTCGGCCGATCGTGGCCGCCTACTACATCATCTACATCATCATTATCGCATTCTTCATGGTGAACATCTTCGTCGGTTTCGTTATTGTCACCTTCCAGAACGAGGGCGAGCAAGAGTACAAAAATTGCGAGCTCGATAAGAATCAGGTGAGCTCTCCGAGTTATAATAACTTTAATCCGCGAAATTTTCTCAGAATGCCTTGGAATATTTATACGAAGCTTTATGGCAGCACTGAAATTTAATCCCACTGTTTGCAGAGGAATTGCATCGAGTTCGCGCTAAAGGCTAAGCCAGTGCGGCGATACATACCGAAGCATCGAATACAGTACAAAGTCTGGTGGTTCGTCACCTCTCAACCCTTCGAGTACACGATATTCACGCTAATTATGATCAACACCGTGACGCTCGCGATGAAGTTTTATCGGCAACCGCAGATGTACACAGAGGCCCTAGATGTTCTCAATATGATCTTCACCGCAGTATTCGCCATGGAGTTTGTGTTCAAGCTGGCTGCATTTCGATTTAAGGTACAAGCTTGATCACATTATGATATCTCATAATTATATTAATTATATTCTCTCCCACTTAAGGTTAATTATTAACATCAAATTATTAATATTATATTATTTTTTAAATATCGTATTATTTCATTATATTTACGAATATCAACTTTCTTGGACTATTTTTTTCAAACTTTCATAAGAGGAATTGTCGAGTAGGGGAGACTGGGATTTTGAAAAACTTCGGAAAATTTCGGTGTTTAAGCTTTTTCGACAACTAATTGTGTGCATATATATGTATGGATTGATCGTACAAAAATGGTAGCAACGATCTTCCTGTGTTTTTATGCCGGAGAAGATCTTGTAAATCGTAGAGTCGGTGCTCCATTTGTGGTCACTTCAAGGAATCTTTCGAATTATTTAGTTTATGATTCATGTTCGCGTTATATAAATGACAATATTTTGTTTTTATAGTATTTCTATTGATCATGCTGCTCGCTAACGAATGTAGAATTTTCTTTCTTCTTTAACTAAATACTTATAACCGAGGATAAATGAACTGCTGCATTTTTTTGTGCAAAACGTTAAGGATATGAGATGAGATAAACGTTAGAATTATTATATAAAAGACACGATTGTGAGTGAATGTTAATCGGCTTACAGAAAGTCTAAAAGTTAATCTCAATATGCATAATCACGTATTTGATTCCTATTAAGCAAAAAATAATAGGTATTGAAAACTAGATCATATATTAATATAATGCTCTATTTTTGGCCATAGAGTGGCCAGAACTAGTTGTTGCGTTGTTCCAATTGCGGCCAACAAAAATAACAAAAATAACAAATGTGTTTTGTGTAAAATTATAAAATTTGTAACACTACAAAATCCATGCTCTGATTTTTACTGACCCTCACTATCGTGCTTGAAAAATTATAAAAATATAGTACAGCTATTTGTCTGGAAACAAACTTTATATAAATATAATTATATATTGTAAATATACTTATTTTTATGTTTCTTTAGATGGATAATAAAAAAAATCGTTCTAAAAAGAAAATTTCAGAGATAAGCAACAAAAAAAAACTTTTTACGTATTCATCAAAAATAAAAGAAGTTATATATACATATATATATACATACATATATATATATATATATATATATATATACATACATATATATATATATATATATATATATATATATATATCTTATTGAAAATAAATATTAACATTAAATCATGATTTTTATTGCATATACTTTTTTATGAATTGTTTTATTATAAATTAATCTCAATTTCAATACGTGGCCAGAACAGACCACTTATTATGGCAAGAACTGGTGATATAGAAGCTAAAAATGGTGAAATCGGAAATTATAACAATTATTTTTAAAAAATGTATTTAATTTATTTTGCTTATCGGTCTTAAATTTATTATTTAAAGATCCTTAAGAATATATTAAAATAATTAAAGGCATTAGATAATGCAAACAATTTAATTAAAACGCGTTTATTTCGTCGAAAATCCTTAAAGTGGCCACAAATGGAGCATCAACTCTATACTTTATTTTTGTAATAATTACATTTTTTGTCAAAATATGTTGATCGTGGCCAACCTGCCCTAGTACGGGGGCAAGTTGGTTTGCATTCCACTAGTAAGTTGGCTATATGTAAAATACGTATATATGAACGTGCTCTTTTCGAGAAATATTTTATCGTTTAGAATTATTTTATAGTAAATAACGTTTACTACTTTGCTACTTTGCTTCAGAAAAGAATGTAAAGATATATTTTTGGTAGTCAGAAAACTGCAATTCCCGTTTTTTATTTATATTAATTCGTAACCTGGATTCTATTGAAATAAGGATATTAATACGCCATTTTTAACGTTGTGCTAAACTGTATATTTATCTCTTAGAAACGATTTAACCAACATACGATCAATCAATCATACAATCGGTATCATATAGAAACAATTATTATTATAAAATTAATAATAAATCAATATTTAATTATTAACATTATTGTGGCACACATACTTTGGATGAAATATTGTACAAGAATTGTATCCATTTCATACATAATACACAAATCCACGACTCTGCTCAGGGAATATCTTCCGCATGCAGAGGCATTGTTTGTCACAGTTTCTCTTGGTACTCAATCTTCGATCTACCTTTTGCTTTTTTCTTCTCTTGACATAGATGCTGCAGGAGAAGTTTTAAATTAACTTTCAAGAAGTACATTAGACAGCTATTGTTTATCACTTAACTATTGAAAAAATCACATGTAAAGATATTACCTTTTATAAAAACATCCTTTATCCTTTTCTTTTTCTTTTCTTTACACCATCTCTAACTGACTCGTTAGTTAAACTTGTAGATGTTCTTCCTTTTCTTGCTCTTGCAGTAATTGATTGAGTTTGACGCTTAGCTAAAGATCTGACATTTTTAATACTGATCTTGCTTAATGGTTCTTTATCAAGTGATAGAGCTGAATAATAATAAAAAATAGAAAAGAACGGAAAAAGAAAAGTACAAACATCAGAGATCCAATGAAAATTTGGTTAGTGGAAACTTTTTCCTTTTCTTTTTCAAGTATATAATTTATAACTTGCCTTCAACAACCGGAAATGGCACGGGTTCGCAAGATGTTGAAGGTTGGGGCTCCGGTGTTATATCGTTCATATTTTGTGATATTTGCTGAATATCTATTGTAACAGAGTGAAAAAGAGAAAGTACGATAGAGTAGATAGAGTGAGATAGAGTGAAAAAGTAAGATAGAGTGAAAAAGAGAAAGAGTAAGTAAATCATTCAATTAAAAAAATGTGCAAAAAGATGGAGTTAAATATACCTGGAGTTATTTCTATTATATTCCAGTCTATTTTCCAATCATCTGTTATAATGTTATTATTATCGGTGGCATTCTGTGAAAAAAAAAATTATAATGTGATAACCACTAAGAATATATATTGAAAAAGACCAAAACTCATATACTAACTGGCATCACAGAAATATCATTTGTGCAGTAAGCGTCTTCAGCTCGAACGTTATTATCATTGTCATGATTGTTAAATGTAATAATATTAACCGCTGGCTGTTCTGTTATATTTTGTCCCTATATAAATTCACAAATGAAAATAAAATAAAAATTTAGAGAATTTACTATAAAATGTACAGATATGACTTACAACTTACATCTGCTATTACAATTTTATTTTCATGCTGAGGTGATACGGCTCTATCTGTTGCATCTGCTGAGACAAAGTCTGCGTCCATGAATGCTTTTTGTTTTAATGGATAAATTCCTGTGTTCTATAAAAAAATACCGATATATACTTGGATATTTTTTATTAGAAATTAAAAATAATTGGTATAAAAATTGGTATAAAAATTTAGAAGCAAATCTATATAAAAAGATGTAATAATATACAAAAATATGATTCAACTATACATTCAGAAACAAAGTTACAAGAAATGAAAATTGAGTCTCATACATACACAAAGCTGTTACAGTATTACTTAGAAGAAAACGGAAGACTAACTTACTTCGAAACCTGCCATAATGTTTAAGGGTGTTAGAACCATGGGTAGAATATTTCTAACAATACCAGGAATATCATATATGCTAACAGTTTTGTCTGGATGATTTAATGTCCACGAGTCCATAGCAGTAGTTGTCAAAATTTTCAGGGAACTGGAAACGCCAATGTCAAATGGATGTATTTGATGAGAGCAGTTTGATGGAATTGACAATATAATAATTCCGTTTTCCTTAGCAAAATCCAGAGCACTTATCGAAAAGTAGCAACTATGATTATTCAATAAAAACAGAACATGATTGTTCTGGCTGGGCCTCACATGTTTTACAAAATGAGTCAGGTATAAGAGAAAATTTTTCTCATCCATCCATCCTGATGGACTAGCTGCCCCAGCACAACCAACAGGACCATTGTGAATGAAGTTTTCCTCAAAACAAACTGTGGGAAATACAAAAAATGGTGGGATGGAATTGCCATAGGCTGATACAGTGCAAACTAATGTAACAAGTTGCTTTCTCTCTGTAGAAGTCAAACATTCAATTTGCTTAACGTCATGTCTTCCCACCACTTTATTCGCTCCCTTCACTATAAACACTCCTGTTTCGTCCATGTTCCATATATTATACGGCTGCAATTTAAAACGTGTCATAATGTCCGCCAAATTGTCAAAAAAGAATCCTACAGTAGTGTGATTAAAATTTGTAGTTCGAGTTAAACTTGCTTCAGATGCTCCTATATTTAATGTTCTGTGTCGTTTCATAAAATTGCAAAACCAATCTTCTCCAGCTATCATATTCCTCTTCCAAGACGGAGGTACCTTTATTTTAGTAGCAATAGCATATTGATATGTTAGTCTTCTTGCTTGCTTATATGACAATCCTGAATTAATATCATTATATTTTGCAATATATTGAACTAAATTATCTTCGTCATTACTAGTGAAAATACGATTGCGTTTGCACTTTTCATAGCCTACACTTATATCTTTAATTTGCATTGATGTGTTCCCATCCGTTGTAGCTTTCATATTTTTATATTGTTTGCAGTATCTGACTAGACTTCGTTTCGGTATTTTATAAGTAGCTGACATAGCATTATAGCTGTTGCCATCTTCCACGACCCCTTTAACGGCCATTATTACAACTTCTTTTGGTGTAGTGGCTCTATTTGTTTTTCTTGTATAATGCCTCATCTTGTTAAACAAGATTAAGTCTTTGACTTAAGAGCATCTGTGTGTGAAAATGCATAATAAACAATACTGTTACATATGTTCAAACCAAAATGTTGCGGAAATAATGATACATATATAATGACGTGAAAACACGTACATTCGAATATTACTAAAAATTATTAAACAACACATAACCTATCAAAATATAACCTCCAAGGTGACATTGAAATTAAATAATCAAATTTATACAGCTTTCCATCAGATTGGTAACAATTCTACTAATGTTTTTTAATCGCAATCAATCGACTTTATAGGGGTGTTTGGCACAAATATTTAAAAAACTATACGAATATAAACTTACAGATTCTATCTCCTCGCTCGATATCGTTCTGCTGCACGTAAACGCTACTTCCTAGTAATCGAGTTCACATGCGCACAACACTGATCTGGTTGCAGTGCTAAGGTGCTCAGTTAGCTTAAATATGGGCCAACTTACCTCATTCGTTCATAAATTAGATTTTCCTTTTCTCAGTCATTTTATTAATAAAAATTACTTCTAAAAAGCAAAAAACTAAAAAAATTTTCATTCAGATCTGAATAAGACTCTCAGAGAAGTTATTTATGTTCTAAAAGGAAAATTTTATGATTTATTTTTCACTGTTCCTTTCATAATAAATATCTAAACGAAATGTATGGTTAACTTATCGCTTGTGCAAATGCGCCCAGATCTCCTCTATATAGTTAACGAGATTGAAAAATGGTGAACAATTTACAAAAAATTGTATTATACCAAGATCGAAAATGAAGATTAAGTTAAAATGTACAATGGCAGAAACTGAATATCTCGTTTAGACTTTTTATCCTAACATATTGTTATGCCGTTACGCCTATTATATATTATATATATATATATATATATTATATATATATATATATATATATATATATATATATATTATATTTTATATATATATATATAATATATTATATATATATTATATATATATTATATATTATATATATTATATATTATATATTACATATTATATATTATGCCTATTATATATCAACACTTTTCCAGCTGCTACTTATCATAAGCATAATACAAATTAAAATATTGTTGATCGGTTATTTTTAATATTATCTAACTTTCGTTTCCGATTATTTTTTTTCTTTTTTTCTTCATAAATTACCGTCAAAACACAAGATAACTCGCCAACACTGTTCGTCTAACAAAACACCTTAGATAGTACAGAAAATTCAATAAAAAATTCAAAAAGAATTCAGTCGTATATGTCACCAATTCTGAGTTCATTTTCAGATGTAAGAAGAATTCTTCAGAGTTCAGTTCAGTGAAAAGAATTTTTTTTGCATCTAAAAATGAACTCAGAATTGGTGACTGAATTCTTTTTGAATTCTGTGCTATTTGGGACGTGTTTTCTCATGATGGGTCAACAATATGTTAATTACGTCGGTAGTCAACTAGATCTGCCGTTACGTGTAAAGTGTCAGTAGACCATAAATGTATTCGTTGTTACTTTGCAGAATTACTTCGGCGATGCGTGGAACGTCTTCGATTTTATTATCGTGCTCGGCAGTTTCATCGATATCGTCTATTCGGAGCTCAACGTGAGTATAACGCCGCGCTCGGCGTCCAAGTCGATATTCAAAAGATAATGTTTAATTTAACAAGCGAGAGTGAAGCAATCAGTAAAATCATCTTATAATCCCGCAGCCTGGATCCTCCATCATTTCGATCAACTTCTTCAGGCTATTTCGCGTAATGCGGTTAGTCAAGCTACTGAGTAGAGGAGAAGGCATCCGTACACTGTTGTGGACGTTCATTAAATCCTTTCAGGCTCTGCCCTACGTCGCTCTTCTTATCATAATGCTGTTCTTTATTTACGCTGTGATAGGCATGCAGGTAAGCATGAACGGTGTACAAATCGACGACGGGAGACGTCGCGAGCACTAACGGGAAATTGTTTCTTCGCAGGTCTTCGGAAAAATCGCGATAAACGATGAAACGTCGATAAACCGCAACAATAATTTCCAATCCTTCCCACAAGCCGTATTAGTTCTATTTCGATCGGCGACAGGTATGTATTTAAACATGATACGCGAGATGCTATAAATATTATATATGTAAATGAAATGAAAAATTTTCGTAAATATTAATTGGATCGAACTCGCTTTGAAAGAAGTGAGCGCGTTCAATTTTTTTCGGTATAATAAAGATTCGCGATTGGGAGATTTAGCTACGAGATATCGCATAAATTCCCATCGATTATAACATACGATTAAGCGTGTGTGGTATTACGAAAAAAAAAAAAAAAAAAA